CTCACAACAAGCTACTTTCAAACGCCCTCACTACATGAGATTGGAGACTGGACTATGACGTCATGTGGACTTGTAGATGATACCAACGTTTCGAGGGAACAGGACCGCCATGAACCTCCTCGATTTACGTCAAGTTTCATACTTTCACATAATTATTTATTCTGTTAGCTCGGGCAGATGATGCACAGTCAGAAAATAGCAGTAAACAGTGAACCTATTGCTAATCAGAAATACATCTACCTGTCTTAAATAACCCCAGAGCATCAACGTAATCCTCTTGGTAAGTACTTCCATTCAATCTCTCCGTGTAAGTTTGTGTCTTTCCCAGGACTTTCCGGAACCCACTTGTTAGTCTCGACATCACTTGCATTTAACGAGCTTGGTCATTGAAACCATTGTAAAATCGTGAAACAAGATTACTGAGCAGTGCACGGCCTATTGTAAGAGAAATGCAGATGCTGGAGTTGCTGACTGAGCCGTTAGCCTGGCCTGTGATGATTTCATGTGCAGTCTCAACAACAATGCAAGACTAATTGTGGGGTGTAGCACTAAGAACAGACTGTGATCTTCGCACGTACTCTCACAACTAATGGTGCGAACCGTACGAAGCCACTTTTGCCTTAATTACTTCACTTCGCCTTTACTTTTCAAACAAAAACGTTGAGACCAAGTCTAAAGTAGTCGAAAGCAATCCATACCTTTTCGGGCAGAATATATTAATATGCTTTAAAACAGTAACTTGCATCTTAATTGATATAGCCATACCGACTGACAGGAATGTCATTAAGAAGAAACCGGAGAATATCTTGAAATACAAGGACATTCTCATTGAAATACAGATAATGTGGAAAGTGAAAGCAAGAGTAATCCCAATAATTATAGGAGCAACTGGAACTGGCTCCAGGTCACTCAGAAAATATTTGGCCAACATCCCGGGCGAACACGACATCAGGGAACTGCAGAAAACTGCCATTTTAGGATCTTCATACATCATTCGAAAGACGCTGTTGTAAAATAAAATTATATAATACATGTAGCACGTGTTAAAAACAACACGTATTCCGGAAATAGCTGCTGCCCTATGTACCTTAGGGACAAGGTCTGTCCCAGGTACATGGAAGAACATGCCCTATAAAGTGGTGAATAGATGGGATAATAATATACTGCTCTAGTGTGTTGTTAGAACCCCCTTCTTATTAACTGCAACAGATGATGCTCTATTACACTTCAACTGCCCAGAAACACACATGGCCATACACTTCAAGTCACTGGGTATATGTTACCCAGACGTTTCGGAGCCTCTTTTCTTTTCAAAAACGTCTTAGCTCTATTCATATCTACGCGGCTGATCATCCTAAGAAACTGCATCGCAGTTAGTCGTAGCTAAACGTCCCGCGTTACATAACCACACTATGCAGTAAGGATAGGTAAACTTCTTATGTTTAAAGTTCCCCTTTCTCCTCAAAGACTTCGGCACTGCAGAGGTATTAGCGTATGTGGCACTTCCTTCCAGGAGATCTGCATTGTGCAGGGGGCAGGAAGGAAGGAAGGAAGGAAGGAAGGAAGGAAGGAAGGAAGGAAGGAAGGAAGGAAGGAAGGAAGGAAGGA